GATCATATCTAGATCTCTCTTAGAAGCGCCTTCCTGTAGAATTCATCCGCAGAGTCTCCACGAGCTTCAAGCACTCTTTTTTTCTAGTGTTTTAGTTGGCTGACCCTTCTTTGTGTATCTGTCAGCATTAAAAAGTAGTTAGTTTGCAGTTGGTTGGTCCTCCTTCAAATGCATTTTTTACGCCCCCCCCCCCCCCCCCCCTAATTCCCACCAGTCCCCACCCCAAAATATATCAAAACAACGGATGGAAAGTTCAGGATAATTGCGAGTATGAGTGATATATACRATTTATGTTTTTTACTGCGGTTTTCGATATTCTGCGAACTCAGACATTTCAACGGCTTGTTGTGAAATGTTTTTTTTTTTTTTTTTAACTGTCGCCAGTCAAGAACATAAAAGGTACCGAAAATATATTGTACAGTTTTCAACTGGAAACTACGTCGTCGATGTACACAGGACGACTGGTTCACTAGGACAGACATGCGCAGTGCATTGAACATGTAACAGTCTGAATTCCAGTCGCCGTCGTCCAGTGTTTCATCGTCGATGCTTAAGCTTCCTATTTACACGCGTGAAAACCGAAAAATCTTAATATATCATGAATTAAATCGACATACAGATTGTCACGTGATCTAAAGGATACCCAGGCGCATACTCAGGCCATGTGGGACCAATAAACCACCATGGCGCATGCGCGTCCACCATTATTCGTCGTCTTCTCCTTCTTGTTCTTCTTCGACCGAGACTCCATGGTGCTTCATCATGGCCTTCATCATCATCTCCAGATGTGTCGTATGCTGCAACACCGACTTAAGTTTGATATTCAGATTTGTTACATCTTCCTTTAGTTGATCTTGCTGTCGCTGGAGTTTCTCTATTGGAGTCTAAAAAAGAAGTGAGAGGTTTTTATTTCATACCGATTCTTTAAGTTCGGGACACACTAGTTATTAAAAACACTCTTGTAAGAAAGAACAATGGAAAAGAGTACTTGTCTAATTGTTAGAATGATAAGGAATGACGATAAGATATCACGAAAGACACTGATAGCAACTTAGCCTAGTAACTTATCACACAGACTAAATAAAAATGTCAATAAAGCTATTAGTATTATAACCTTTTCAGGATTCATGGCATCGTTGATTATTCTTGCAGGAGATGTGTTGCCAGTATTCCAGAATGACCAGATTGTCCAGTATTTGTTTTCGTTGGGGTAGACAACCTCTTCTGTCGAAACAAAGCGACGACGCAACATCGCTGGGAGAGCCTTTTCTACATCCAGTACAAGATCAACCTGAAAACCAATAGAAATTAATAAAAGAGCGAGCGAGCTAGCAAGCAAGCAATAAGCCTGAAGCGAGATGACGTTTTACCCCCTACTCTATACCCGATAAGTAAGAGTTAATTACCGAGAACGGAGGCAATAAGCCATTCTTCGATTGCACGTTACGTCATCGCGGCCATGTTAGTGCCATTTAACAAARGATTTCTCATTAGCATCCATTGTTAACGGCACCACAATGGCCGCCATGCTTTTGTCTTTTGACTCTCTTGGTATTGCTTGCAACCCATCAATATACATAGGCTTATTGCCGACGTTCGAGGTAATTAAGTATTTTATTTATCAATTGAGAAGGTTTTCTATCAAATGTTGCTTATTATAAATGCGAAGTCTATATAAAGTTATTAACCCGGTTAATAACTAACTATATATTGACCTCGCATTTATAATGAGTGTTACAACAAAAACTAAAGCCTTGTGAATAACATCATCTCGCTTCAGGCTTATTAAAGTG